CAGATACACCCAGACTGGTACATATTACATATACACCCAAACCTGGTAAACATTACTTATACACCCAAACCTGGTTCACATTACATGTATACCCAGACTGCAACTCACCATGTAAATACCCATATCGTTTATACACCCAGACTAGTACACACCACACATGTATTCAAAGACTGATACACATTACATACACACATGGACGATGCACATAGCATATCCACCCTGATCAGTGCACAAATCATGTACACCCTGACTGATATAAATTGGAAGTACACCCTGACTGATACACATTACACGTACATCATAACTGATACACATTACATGTACACCCTGACTGATACACATTGCACGTACACACTGACTGATACATTGTGCAAAAATGAATCTAACTGGGTGCTCAATTTATCTCCAGCCCATTTGGGACATTTACATTTAGCACTGTACCATGTGAATCAAACAGATGCAGCATGGGATTGGGGAAATTATCATTACATCAAGTTCCGGACCCCAGATGAAAATCATTGTCTCTTTGGCTGCAGAATAGTGGAAGGAATCTGTAATGATTGTGACAAGGTCTGCTGGGTGGCCGTCATAGAATACAAGTTGCCTAATTGGGCCTGCTAATCTGGTCCAATCAGGGAGCCCTGGCTGACAGATATAAACAGAAAGGTCAGAGGTTCTGAGGGTGGGCTCTGAGGGAGCTGGATCAGTGTCAGGGATGCTCTGTGTGATAGTAAAGGGTGACTTGGTGATGGGATACTGGCCTCTGTGGAGTTATCTCGGACAGTATCAAGGAAGCTTTACTTGCAGTTTAAAAATGTAGGGAGACATTTCCCTTCAAATTAAAAGAGTAGAGGCAACTTAACTCTGTTTCTAAACCCGTGCTGTACCTGTCTTGGGAGTGTTTGATGAGGACAATGTCGAGGGAGCTTAACATTCAGTTTAAAAGAGTAGATAGGAGACATGGAATCACTGTTGTAGTACACTCTGAACGAATTGCCAGGGAATTGAATTCCACTGTGCCTGGAACTTCCGAATGGCTCCTTTCAAATCTGTGAGTTTGCAGGATTCTGATTAAAATGAAATAAAGTAGTTACTCAGGAAAATTTATGACTATTAAACACATGAAGGTGCTGCCCCAACCACTGATCCACTGTGTTTTTACATCTGTACTGGAACTTAGGTCTTTCCCTGGGCTGGTGATTTATTATGGAAAGTTCATACATACATACAACCTGGCCCTCCATCCTAGTAACATTGCATCAACTCTTATAAAAGAGTCAGCCTTGGAAATGGTTGCCTAGCCAAGCCATAGCTTTAAGGTGTTGGCACATTATGATTCCAAGCAAGGTCTGGTATTAACATGTGATGCCTCCCCATATGGCATTAGAGTAGTATTAGCTCTTAGATGGCGAGGAAAGCCCAATAAAGTATCCATCCAGGATTTTGGCTAATGCAGACCCTAAATACACCCAGATAGAGAAGGAAGGTTTGGTGGTTATGTTTGGAGTCAAGAAATTCCACCAATACCTTTACGGATATAAATTTGTCATAATAACGGTCCACAAATCCCTGCTGGGTCTACTGAAAGGGGACAAGGCAGTGCCGCCCATATCTTCAGAACAAATTCAGCAGTGGGCTCTAATACAAAGTGTGTATACTTACAAGTTAGAACATAGTCTGGGAGACCAAGTAGTGAATGTGGATGCATTGAGCCATCTCCCACTGACGGATACACCACCGGTGGTACCGTCACTGGAAGAGTCTGTAATGTCTTAAATTTTCTGCACACACTTCCAGTCACAGCTGACAATACCAGAGTTCGGACACGGAAGGATCTGGTTCCAACAAAACTGAAACAGCTGGGGGTGATGGGGGAAACCAAAGGGCCATCACAACCAGAACTGAAACCATTTTGGACCCGGAGAGACTGGATCACAGAAGAGGAAGACATATTATTGTGGGGAGCAAATTGCCCTGAGCAGGTACTGGCTAAACTCCACCAGGGTCATTCAGGGGTTTCCAAAATGAAGACATTGGTGAAAAGTTATGATGGTGGCCAGGACTGGATGCAGAGAAAACCAAACTTTTTGGCCCCATCACAATGTTTCCTTCTGTGGCAAACATGGCCCGGGGGGCGGTGGGAGACGGGTGGTGGTACTTGAACCCACAGACTTTGACTCATTGACAGGGACAAACACAAATATATCTAATAAGGAAATCCGGGAGACACTTATTCACACAGCAAACAATGAAAATCTAAATGTTTTTAACCATGAGTTTTAGTTTAAATGAATAACATTGACACTTCTTTTTAGAAGATAATTTGATTTTAAAAAAGTAAGAAAGTAAGTTGTGAAGGGGTCTACAAAAGTATACAGGTTAGTTAAGTGAGTTGGAACTCTCCAAACCCAGTAACATCCTTGTATATATTTTCTGCGCCCTTTCTAGTTTAACAGCATTCTTCCTATAGCAGGCCGACTTGAATTGTACACAGTATTACAAATGTGGCCGTGCCAATCTGCTGAATATTTTCATGATTCCTGGTATGAAAACTTCTACTGGGTCACCCCTCTGAAGAAAAGAGTTACAAGCTTCTTCAACCAAATCTATTAAGTAGAGTAAATTCACACAGTTCTTATGTACAGAGGGATAGTCCTCAGAGATGGGGAAATGGAGGATCCATGGAGATTCATGGTCAACTCCTGTTCCTTCTACACTTGTGAGAGTGAATGGAACAGCACCTACAGTAGATTTAGCGGAAAACTGGGCAAAATGTTGATGGGGGCAACATTGGTGAGATATGGAGAAAGAGGAGTGGAAGCAAGACTGATGAGGTTTCAAAAAGACACCACAGATGTGATGGATGGAATCACTTCATCGTATGCTGTATAATTCTATGATAATCATAACTGATACGCAGCACATTCCACATTGATATTCACATCCTCATACTCCATTGCTTCAAAAACCAGCGCGTCAGCCATAAATGTGCTTTTTGTTCGATGAATGCATTCCAGAGGTGCCCACACACAGCAAGTTCTGCAGCATTGCTAAAACCCTTTCGCTACAGCATCAAACCTTGGATTCTCACAGATCTGATTAAAGCACATATCACAGCTGCAGTTTTAAACCTTACCCCCCCCTCACCACCCTGTTGGCCTAACAAATACAATTTGAGACACATTAGAGAGGGTCCAGAGAGTGGAAAATATCAGATTAATTCAACCCGAGCTCGATTTAGTGCATTCCCACTTCCCCAACCTTGGGTAATTCAGGCTTCAGGCTAAGATTCTATCTTAAAGGAGATAAGTGAGTGGGGTCAATGCTGAAGACTGAGAGGTCTTAGTTCAGTGATGATGTCATGGGGGAGAAACACCCCCCCAACACCCCCACACCCCCTGCTGTAGCTGCCTGCAGCAACAAATAGAAGGGAGGACATATAAATGGACCATACCAGGCTCAGCCACGTTTCAAAATGCTACCCTCTAGGGCAGGATGAGCAGGAGCCCCTGGACACTTCACAGAGTTTCCCCACCTCCAGCATGTATTATGCTAATTTACTCTCCTGACCTCGTGACCATATCAGAGTTTAGGGCCTAAACTCTCCCATGTCCCCAGTCCCCAACCCCAGCTCACCAGGCCTTGTTACCACACAGCCTGCCATTACACACCCCTGTTGTTAGTCACTAACAGTCCCCATTAACAACTACTCACCCTCCCAGCCTGATCGTTAGCAACTCCTTTGTCTGTCCAACTGTCTTTCTCTCTCTTTGGGCTCTATCCTATTGTTTACTACCTACCCCACCCACCTCCCTATTTTCTGCATATGAACTGACGATTTCCCAGCCACCATCAGTTCTGAGGAAGGGTCACCGGACCCGAAACGCTAACTCTGTTTTCTCCTTCACAGATGCTGCCAAACCTGCTGAGCTTTTCCAGCAACTTTGTTTTCGTTCGTGACCATAGCAGTCAGCTTCACCAATCCTACTCCACCATGCCTGTTGGTCTTTCCCTTCTCCTCTGACCCACCAGGATATCCAGTTAGAGATTTTTATGACTGAACCATCATTCCCACTTGTTAGGCTGCAGATCTGATCCATGGGAATGGTCCCTGTGCAGACCTCCTCTGTAGATAACTTAAAACTTCTCACACACAAATACCACTGCAACCAGATTTGTGCCAAGGTGTTTATGTTTCTTAAAGTGTGTGATTCAGAACCCCTGTCAGGGGGTCTACTGAGTCGATTATAAAGGGATTAGCACAACTTGTTTGCTGTGTCCTGGATGGACAAAGGTGGTCACAGTGAGAGTCTTGAAACGATTGACCTCCGATGGCTGGAAATGCATCTTGCATGTGTGATGGAGAGGGAAAAGAATGATCCAATTGCAAAGTTCATGACTAAATCATCCCCAGCATTGAGGCCTTAGCATAACGGATGGATCT